GGCACTGGTTAGACTACTACTTGCTGACTACTCTGGAGTGATAGGCCCCGTTGTTGTACTGCTCTACAATATAGTCAGGGATGATTCGAGTCTTGCTCAGAGCAAATGCAATCCCAAGAGTGATGAGCCTGCCTCAGCTGGTGCACAGCCAAATGTTGTGTGGCCACATGTTGGGTTACAGACATTCGAGGAGGCTGCAACAGCTATCCTAATTCTGTTCTCCCATAGAAGCAAGGCCTTTGCAAGCTTGTCCGAGTGGAAGAACGATCTCCCTCGTCTAACCAGGCACGAATGCTGAGTCAAGACAGGCTGATACAGGAGGGAGATGATTTCTGTGTGTATATAAAGTCTGCTGCAGTTTCCACGGTAAACATCTGATGAAGTGAGCTGTAGCTCACGAAAGCTCATGCTCAAATAAATTGGTTAGTCTCTAAGGTGCCACAAGTACTCCTTTTCTTTTTGCGAATACAGACTAACACGGCTGTTCCTCTGAGAACTATCAGTGCGACAGAGGCATATATTTTGGCACAGAGGACTCCCTCATCCCAACAGGTGAAAACCAAACCCCCGCATCACAGAAGACGTGCACAGTTACCGTCCAAGGCAGTCTTAGGTAAAACATCATCTGCCTCACTCTCTGCCTAACTTGCCCCTGCTTTTGCAGAATATCTGCACAAAGTGTGTCTGAGGAAGTTCAGAACAGATACTTGCAGCATTTCCAGCACCAGGTTCCCCTGTGTTTCTGAATAGCTGCTAAGCATCATTTGCTGCAAGGCCCAGCACCTCTTCAGTTCACAGCCCAACACCTCATCCGTACTTTCACAAATGTTGCTTGGACTAAAACAGGCAGGTGTGATATCACCTATCTTGCATACTGCACTGTCACTGCTTGGCAGCAGGCTCCTCTATCTTGCTTTCAGCCTCACAGAATACACATTTCCACCACTGTTCTGCTCCTGCCAAGTCTGTAGTTGAACTCCCAGCGTGACAGGCTTTTACAGCTCCTGGACAGGATATGGCAGATGGGGAGAGAAACAGTTTCAACCTGCTTCCTGCCTTAGGTCTGGTCTTCACTAGGAAATTAGGTCAGAAAAATCCACACCCCTAAGTGACAGTTAAACCAACCTAGCACCCTGGTGTAGACAACACTAGGTTGACAGGAGAATTCTGTCGACCTAGCTACTACCTTTCGGAGAGGTGGAGTACCTACTCCTTCTTTGGGTGTAGGTAGCATCTTCTCTGGAGCGCTACAGCGACATTGCTGCAGCATTTTAAATATAGACAAGCCCTTAGTGGGAAGCCTGCACCTCAGCTAATGGGAGGCAACCTGTTGATATCCACTGGGGCTGATTTTCTAGTAACCTGGGGCCATCGGAACTCCCCAAACTTAGCTGAGTACAAGATCCAAGGACACCACAACTCGAGAGGACTTTGAGCCAAGACAGGTAGAAGCCAGCTGGAAGAAAAAGGTTGCCTTTTTAGAAAAACTAAAGTTAGAAGTTATTTTCAGTTTAGTTTCCAAAGTCTTGGAAAAAAAAAAGGGGGGGGGTTAATTTAGACAACATATACATTGTAAATTTATACAAGCATTCCCAAAATCCAACTTAGGCAGGAAAACAGTGTGGCTAGAATCAAAGCAACCTCATGTTAGTTTTCTGAAGCTAAGAGTCTGGGAGAGGGTGGGAAGAGGGGAGAGAGCCTCAGATAAATTTCCTGTGAATACTTGCTGTTCATTTCCTTTTGTTTTTTGTTTATGGCTCCCATTCCTTGGCATTGAGTCATTTGCTCTAGCTGAATCAGTGACTTCCCAGCATCTGACTCGCAACCTTGCATTAAGAGAGATAAAGTAGTACCCATTCTGTGAAGGAGAGGGGGAGAGATAAGGAACTGAATTACACAAGTATAGTTTTAGAGGGTGGATTTCATGAGGTACAGCATCTTCTTAATAAGAAAAGGAGTACTCGTGGCACCTTAGAGACTAACCAATTTGAGCATAAGCTTTCGTGAGCTACAGCTCACTTCGAATGCATCCAATGAAGTGAGCTGTAGCTCAGGAAAGCTTATGCTCAAATAAATGTGTTAGTCTCTAAGGTGCCACAGGTACTCTTTTTTTTTGTGAATACAGACTAACACGGCTGCAACTCAAACCCATCTTCTTAATGCCATTCACAAATCTTTCATTTTATGACTTTACATTCTACAGAATACAAAAACTTCAAAACAAAAAATTGTTTTGAATTGAAAGGAAGACACATTTCTTTCAAAAAAATGTCAAAACAGGACATTTCAATACTGCTGAACTCCCTTCCCCTCCCCCTTTGCCCTCTTCTCCACCAAAACAAGGTTCTGACAAGAGACAATTTTGCAAAAAGTGTTTAGATTTACCTGGAACTGCATTCTGATGGAAAACTGGTCCATCCAAGTTTTTCTGAACACCGCTAATTAATATATATAAAATAAAATCAGGAAGTCAAAATGATTTTAGAATTTTGCCCTAAAATCTCATCAACATACCCATTCCTGCGGAAATATTTTGATTTGGACAAAACTGCATTTTCCAATAGAAAACTGTTTTGTTAAAAAAAAATTCAACCAGCTCTAATTGCTATGTTTTGTGGCCTGTACCATGCAGGGGATAAAACTAACCTAGAGGATCATAATGGTCCCTTCTGACTTAAGTATCTAGGAATAAATAAAGTATATTTTGTGCTTTTATTTCAATAAAGGTATTACTTGATATCTACACGCTTCTGAATATACGTTAACTAATAAAAGCCCTAGACATGTATAAACCTTGGTTTAGACAAATAAGGTGGGTAATATCTTATCTGATCAGCTTCTGTTTGTGAGAGACAAGCTTCCCAGCCACACAGCTCTTCTTCAGGTCCGGGAAAGGAACTCTCAGCATCATGGCAAAATGTAATGTTGAACAGATTGTTTAGTATTCAGCACATATTGTAAGGGACCATTCAAGGTATAATGGCCCATTAACACCTCTGCAGTTATAGGACAAAGAGAGAGGGTTAGATTATTGTTACAATAATAAGCCATACATTTAGCAAAAAGAAAAGGAGTACTTGTGGCACCTTAGAGACTAACCAATTTATTTGAGCCTAAGTCTCTAAGGTGCCACAAGTACTCCTTTTCTTTTTGCGAACACAGACTAACACGGCTGCTACTCTGAAACCATACATTTAGATGGCCATTGTAGCATGGCTCAAACAGTATTAATATTTGTTACCCAAGTGCTTTTTTTTTTTTTAAAGCACTATTAATATTGTGAGTTTCCAAGACAACCACCCCCCTGTCAGAGCCACAAGGATTTAGTGGCATGGAGGCAGATTACCCAGTATGCAGAGGTACCTTGCAGACTGCAGAGCTGGGCTCTGCACCAGTTCCTGGAAGGCCACTTCAGAGTGGGGAGATGTTGCCAGTATGTTGGCAGACTCAGCTCAAACTCCTGTAGATTAAGTACATGCAGATCTCAAGGTCTATTCCAGCTAGAGGCTGCCTTGCTCATTACAGACTGCCATCTGCCCCAGTGAGCAGTGGCTAGATGTCTGGCAGTAGCCACTGAGGCAAGGTTGGTTTAGAGGATTAGGGGTTCCCCTAGGAGGGAAGACCCAGAGCATGGGGGCACTGCTGGGGCAGAACCCTGTGGTAAAGGGCACTGGGGTCTGGGAGGGACATGGCTGCCTGAGGCAGGTGAGCCACCAGCCTACAGAGGGTGCTCCAGGCTGGAATCGAGCTAATTCACACAACAACCAGCAGGAGGCGCTGCACCGGCGAGCATCACTTCGCTACACTTACCCTGATATGAAATGTTCTGTATCTGCAAGACAACTTACACAGTCAACATTTCTAAGGCACAGCATACACTAACATATCTCAACTCACCAATAAGAAGTTACTCTTATTTTTAAAGCTCATTTAAAGATATATTCCCCATCAATGGGGTCTGTTCTCCCATTGGATGACAGCTACTTCCACTAATGCTGCGTTAAGAGCACTATTCGTCCCCATACACAGATGGGAGCCTCAGATCTCGGTTGTATTTCCCACCAAGAAAACTGCATCTGACCTTGTTTCCTGCAAACAAAGTTGAAAACTGCTGTACTCTTGTGTAGACAGGGGAAACTACATTTCATACTTGTAGGAAAGTGATGTTTGACTATCAACAGCAGTGAGGCTTTTCCCAGCACACTGACTTGGGAGAAATTGCCATGCCCAACTACCACTGTTCTGTAGAGAAGTGGCTTTAGAGAGATGGGGTCTGGGTGTGAAGAGATATGCAAGTTTGCTTATTAAACTGATTCCCAAAAGCAGCCTGTTAGGAAAGCATTTATTTTGCATCTTCATTAGTTCAATGAAGAAAATACTGGCAAGGTCGGTAAATTTGTTACACTCATACTGGAAACTTCTTGAAATTATGTCTAAATTGAAAAGTTACTGCATTTTTTCCTAAACACCTGCATAGACCTATGTAGACTCTGATTTTATTTTACACTGAATTAAAATTAACTTGTGCATAATTAAAAATGAAAAAAACTTTCCTTTTACACAAAATACCATATCACCCCCCACAAAGCATTACGTATCAGTTTATGGTTTTAGCACTGGGATACTAAGCAACCAGTTAAGAATTACAGTTTAGTGGCAAGAGCTCTGTGACCAACAGAAAGAGTGAAGTTTCATCCATTGTATGCAACAATTTGTATGAATTACCAAGAAGTGTATTAAAAAATTAGTTTACAGCAATTGCATGTGAGGTTAATTCCCCCCAACATCTTAAGTTTCTGCAGAGCAGGGTGGTGAATATGGTGGGAACATATTAAAGTTAACGATTTGCTACATGATATGAATGCAATACTAATCAAAAGGGTGGTATTTACTGCACTGTCAAATTCCACATTTGCAAATGCAAACAAGAAATTAGATACAATTTTTATTTCTGTGACCAAAATTAAAAATATCTTTAACCACAATTCTGCTTCATCACAGTGCGGAATATTTCAAGGATTTATTGAGGCATATCTTTTACATACAAAAGTAGAGATTGAGGAAAAGCCAGAGTAGTCTATACAAAATACAGTCTGTGTACATTCTGAAGCTGTACCTTCTCAGTAGCTGTTTATACATTTTTCAAACTGATCCCTTACCCAATGATTTAGAATGTTTTATATCATCAGAATTTCTAGATTATAAGAACCATTAACATTGAGCGCATATATTTATACCCTTCAATTGTCAATCCAGATGGCTGAAAGAATGTGACCTAAACTGGGTTTGCACAGTTTTGAGGGACAGACTAACAGAGAAACTCACATGGTCTGAAATGGAGATCTTAGCATAGGATAACCGACGCTGCAGTGTACTTAAGACTAAAAATCCCAGGTGAAATACTGGCCCATCTGAAGTTAACGGCAAAACTCCCATTGTTCTGCAACACCAGGACTTCACCCCTTGTTTTTGAGATGCAACACTTAGGGCACATTTTCTTGCTCTTCATATTCTTTTCAGATACTGCACCCACAAAAAAGTTAAAGAACAAATGGAACAAAAGCAAACATCTTTTAAAAACACTGAGTGGTGTTAGGGGAGAGCTAAGCAGTGCTCTGAGCAAAAGACACTGAAGTGAACATGAGCGAGTTCATACTAAAAAAAATGAGCGAAAATTATCTTTATCCAAAATGGAGACATTATTGCTGCTACACTTCTGCTACTGGCTGAAAAACGGAATGACATGGGAAATGGCGACACTGTGAAATGAACTATAGATGCTTTTAAAGCTCTCTACAGACTTTTTTTGTCCTAAATATACTGCAGCGTTAACAGCTATATTGAAACAGTTTTACAGTTTCAAGGGAAAACAAGCGTTGTGTAGTTTAGAAAGCAACTCCAGAAGTTAATGAAGACCCCAGTCTGAGGGAAAAATTATTTCCCACTATCACATGGAGAAACAGTTCTCACTACAAACCTCATCTTCAATTAATAATTTAAAGAAAAACCCACCAAACCCTTCTGTTGCATATCTGAAACAGAAATTCTTTCAGCACACTTAGGCCCCAGTCCTGCAACTGCATCAGAATGAGCTGACCCCCGAGCTTTCACAAGACAGTACTTAAGTCATCAGCAGTGACTCACCACATTTACAAGAACATTTCAGGAGTATTCAAAACAGTAAATGTTAGTACTATAAGAAATGCTCAACTCATTTCTTAAAAGGATACAGAGACACTGGCTCTTCAGGTACCTTTCCCAACGTGCTACTTTACAAATTTAAATTTAAAGCATTTCTTTCTGCATCATCTGTGCAAATGTGTATCTGTAAGTATTATTGCACATTAAAAAAAGCTTTGTAGTGAAAACAGGACTGAAGACATGGCATTCTCCAAACAGAACAAAAAGCTATCTGTACAGTAAATGCTAATTTAAAGAATGCCAAGATTTAAAATCTAAGCACATAATACTGACAAAATGTTAAATTGGACAATATACATAAATTACATTTGCAAATACTTGTAGAAATTTTAAACATTTAATACTCTTAATTTCACAAATCAGCTAGATCACTGTCAAACAAAGGATCTAATTAATGAATTAAAAAATGTCCCCCCCACCCCACCAGAAAAATATCATTGAGAAACAAAAAGGAAAAGAGAAACAACCTGCAATCTTAGACAAAGCACTGGAAAGAGTCAAAGCATTTCAGCTTATAGAGGTAGTACTAGCCACATCCAGCTAGAAATACATTATATTTGTACTATGATGAAATAACGTAGTAAAATGTAGAAAGACTATAAAATTTACAAAAATAAACAGTTTTGAATGCTTTAGAAAATGCAAGATACTTCACTGACAAGTGTCTTGAGTCTGCTTTTCCAACCAAATGGAAGTGACATTTGTTTTAATATTTTTAAAATATACCTATATCTCTAGTAATGCTGATGGATTTGCACAATCAAAATATGCAACTCCAATGTATGCCAACTTGGCATGTATTTTAATATTAAAAATAAAATCTAGGCTTCATAAGAGACTCCCATATGAAATTCACTTTGTATGTAAATTCTTCTGAAATTAAAAATTGCACATAAACATTTATTCAAAGGGGGTGAAGGGTGGCGGGTAAGGATATGTGCATGTTTTTATGTCAATACACACACATGCACCCCCAGAAGGAAAAAGATGATTGCACAATTTCTCAAATAAATAATTTCATTTTAAAAACTGCCACTTTTTTTATTTTAACTGAGACATTTTAAGAACTACTTGTGGACAATTGTGTTTTGTTTTAAAAGAAATTCCTTGCAGCTTTCCCAGCCAGTGGCTTTATCCTCAAACCAATGTTAAGTGGCAGTACGGAAAGTATCTTTGGTTAAAAAAAAATAAATATCAAGATCCAACAAGAATTTCCATGATATGGTCCAACTCACTCAAATCTGTTCTACATATTGGAATATTGTTTGCTGAGGAAGAATTGCAAGATGGGAAGCTTTTCAATGTTTCTTCTGTAGCAGCAGAAGGTGGTCTAGGTGCCATTAGTGGGGGAGAGCAGAAGTCTGAATCATACATTGAAGTGTCAATATCCTCAAAGATGTCATCTATAGCCAAATCTTTTAAGTAACTGGTTGAATTCGAAATTTCAAAGGAACCAAATACACATTCTGCTCCCTTCAAATCTTGTCTATCATCTTCTAGTTTTAGACATGTGTTTTCTGGAGACTTCGGCTCATCATCTCCAGCTGGAACCAAAGAAGTAGGTGGACTTATATCTTCCATGAAGTCCAAATCCTTCAGAATAGATGAAATGGCAGATGACATGTCATCATCTGAAACCATCAGCAGGCTATTTTCAATTGGGCCTTCTGAGGACCACGAGTTACAACAGTTAGACTCTTGCTGGTTACTACCTGAAGGCAAATGTAAAGAAATTCCAGATGAATCAATTCCTGGGTAGCTGTGAGGATTGGGAGCAATGCCATTGCATACATTAATTGGCTGCTGGCTACTCTCTTGTCTCATTTCCTCCTGAATTTGCCTTACTGTGTTGGCTATGAGCACAGAACGGTGTAAGTTTGGTTCCACCAGCATTTTGTAAGTTTGTAGTTTAGTGAGGCACATATTCAGCACTAACTGCCTCTTAAGTGGATAGGGCAGATTTCGACTGGAATCAAAGGCACTTGAGAGACCAGCCACGTTCTCCTCATAGTCACTCAGCTTGCGTTTTAGGCCTCTCCCCAACATGAACCTGCAAAAGAAAAATTCTAGTCAATCTTTTATACTTTTAATTAAGCATCATTGGAAAACACCACACTTTTGCAAAAGCTACATCCCTAACAGTGGGCAGTGGGGATAACGGAAACAGTTTATCTAAGTTAATCAATGCTAATGAGAGCTGATCACACATAGCTATTAAAAAGGGAGCATACCCTCTCTTCACCAGACGTTTTTATTTTTATTGAGAAAGATGTACTGTTTTCCCAACTAGATTCCCTAATAATCCTTACAATTTTAGATTGGAGAAAAAAAAATGTCAGCTATTTAATCATGAGATGTAAATTGTATTTAACAATAGTGAAAACTACAAAAAATTACATCAACAGGACCATACTGAGGCTCAGGATGGATAAAAGTTAATTTAAAAAAACCCAACCCCCCCCCCCCAAGTTTTTTGGATAAAATGCTTTTTGAGGAAATAGGGATGATAAATTCGAATTCTATAGTATGAGATAATATATTCATGTAATGCTTAAGAAAAGTTTTGTAAATGAGTTCCAATAGTTCATGGATTAGGGGTTCCACAGGCTTCTGTATAGATTATTTAGGTTAATCTTTCTATCTACCCAGTGGGACTCAGTGCTCAGTCTAGAAGATACCATCAGAGATGCTTAGTTTTGCAGTTCTCAAACTGTGGGTGTGTGTCTCCAGAGGTAACATGCTTGTTAACAGCAAAAGTGTTTTTAAAATATATAAAGGTGAGAAATGACAGATCTCAACTCTGTACACAAATTTGCAGCGGACAATAGAGTCAATCCCTTACCTCTCTCTAAAAGTGCAAAGTTTCAAAACGTTCAGTGAACAGAAGATTTTTGGGGTGGAATAGATCTGGACAAGGAGAAAGTCCAGAGATAAATGTGAGAAGAGAGGAACATATGCTCGTTTTTTAAAACTATTATAGGTTTGCCGTTGAAGAAAAAATCCACAATGCTTAACATTGTTGTTTTAGTTAAATAAAACAATTTAAATGCCTGTCTGGTGATGTTCTCCTCCTAATACAGTCTGGAAGGAAAATCCTCCAAATATTAATGATTAACCTGCTGAATGGGAGATATTTATGAAGTCATTGGGAGGTGAACTATCTGCTTCAATTACCTTTGGTAAACGAAAACCAATCATTCACTTTCTGATATAGCTGTAAAACTAATCTGAAAAGTTTTCAAAATAAATTACTGTTTAAAAATGTATAGTGTGTACCTTCTAAAAATGAAACCTACATCTACCTCTGAGTTGTGAAGAATATGTATTAAGGTTATACCAACCAACAAGAATGCACTTTTATGTAGAAAACCATGATTAAATAGAGGGTCTTCCTGACTAGTGATTTAAATCAAATCCAACCTATTGAAGCTTTTTATCGCTGCAGAACTTCTTAATTGAACATTTTGTAGGCTTACTAGGCCAAGTATTTTGGAATAGAGCTCACAACCCTTTCAAGCTAGAAAGACAGAATTATAGAGGAATTCAATAAAGATAGGAAAAAGAGTCACAGCTATCCTGCCAAGTAAACAGAGGTTCATTATTATAACTGCCCTAGCTATATGGAATATTTCAGAATTTGCATTATATTATTTACTTGTTAGTGGACAATATAGTTAAAATTGCTAAACAGGTTTCATTAACCTTTATTTTTATATGGTCAGAACTTTCTAAAAATATACCTTGCAAGCAGAAATTTCCTTTCCTGAATTCCCCTCCTCTCCCAACTGGAACACACAGCTGCCCCAGTTGAGTTCAGCACAGTCCCTCCTTGTGCCATGAAACTTACAAGATGGATTTTGAGACTTAGGACATACAGGTAGTAGCTCTCACTGAGTAGATCAGCCACTAGGTAGGGTAATATAATAAAGTTGCGAGGAACAGAAAATTAGCTACTACACTCCCACAATAGAAAACCGTATTCAGTCAGTGTTTGAGACACAAGGTGGGTGAGGCAATGTTTTTTATTGGCCCTGCTTCTGTTGGTGAGAGACTAGCTTTCGAGCTTACACATAGCTATTCTTCAGCCCAGACCTGAAGAAGAGCTCTGTGTAAGCTCTAGTATCCTGGGACTGACATGGCTACAACATTTCAGTCAGTGTTCATATGTAGATGTGCTCCCTACATATGTACATGTGAAGTGCACCCCATTTAATGTATGCCAGTAAGCACCAGTGAGCCCAAAGGGCTTAAACGTGTTTAAATTCCTTCATAAATGCAAACTTCTCAATGGATGTTGTCAGCACTTATGTTGCCTTAAGATATTACACCAGGGATTTCAAGCCATTTATGTGTGGATGCGACTAAATAGTCAGACAATTTAAAAGTACAGGCTGTGAAAAGGCAGCAGTGAAGGGGTCCAGATATGCCAGGCAAGGGAATTTGGCTGCAGGACAGCCCCTTTCCATTGCTGGTCAAGAATCCTGCCAGTCATTGCACCAAACAGTGCAATTTTTGATTTATGGTTAAACAACTTTTCTGGGGACTTCAACACTCCAGACTACTCTCTAACTCCAAGAACAAAAAACAAACGAGAAGCCTACAGTCTCACTTAATGAACTAAGTGGGGAGTAGAACGCATCATGCAGTTTCATTCCCAAATAGAAATAGAGCACGTAGAAGCTTATTGAAGACCCTTAAGGGGGAAAAACAAGCCTGCTGCTTCTCAGTGACCTTACTAGAGAAGGTAAGTGGAATTGCATGGCACCAGAGATGACAACTGCAGGCTCCTGTGGGCTCTCGCTTGTAGATGATCCCACAGATGTTAAGGCCTTGAAAACAGAGGTATCCATCTTGGACTCCCCAGCTAAGTTCCCTACATGCTGCTGGGCCACGCAGCAGCCTATTTATCGCTCAGGGAACCCACCCATATTTAGCATGCAAACACTCAAGGGAACCTGCCCGGGGACCTGCTGCAGCTGGGGTGCCCCTCTCCCCAACTTAACCCAGCCCCCAACCTACTGCTGCAGCCCTCCAGCCCCAACTATGCTGCAGCCCAGGTGTCTCTCCCATGGCTTGGCTCCACCCTGGACCTGCAGGGGCTGGGGGAGGGGCGCCTATCCTGTGGCCCTTGCCCTGGAGCTGCCACAGCAGGGAGAGGCGCCTCTCTCTCTCTTCCCCCTTCCCCCCACTGCTGTAGGGAAGAGAGCGCTAGGGAGAAGTTCTCACCCCGGCGTAGCCCCAGAGCACCCTCCTGCACCCCTCATCCCATGCCCCACCCCAGAGGCCCCCCCCCGCCAACCCTCTGCCCCAGTCCTAAGCCCCCTCCCACACTCCGAACCCCTTGGCAGCACCCCCACCATATGAGTTTTGTTATGTGCACCGACCGATTGGCTATAGTGGTGCACATAAAATTCATTCTGCACATGGGTGGGAAAAATTAGAGAAAACACTGCTCCACAGTGTAGGTATGCAGCTCTTCCCCCCTCCCCACCCCAAACAGCCCACCTACACACAGCACCCAGAATTCAGTCTTCCTCTCAAAACTGTTCCATAACTGCCAACATTTATATGAAACCCCATAAATTCCTGGATCTGTTCTTACTTCTCAAAACAGATTTTTCACAGATTTATAGATTCCAAAGCCAGAAGGGACCACTGTGATAATCTCTTCTGATCTCCTGAATAACACCAGCCAGAAAGCTTCCCTGAAGTGATGCCTAGAGAATATCTTAGAAAAAAATCCAATCTTGGTTTAAAGATTGCCAGTGATCTGGAATCCACCACAACCCTTGATAAATTGTTCCTCTGGTTAGTTACCCCTCACTGTTAAATTACTTTTTACTTGAAGGGGAAAGTAAACTTTGTACACTGGACTATTTCAGCCTCATAGCTCTAAACATACTAGGAATTTTGTACTGCATGTGTAAAAAAGTTACTTTTCCATTTCTGGGGGGAGGGTGGGGGAAGAGAACATGCAGTAGTCCTTGGTAAGAACTAATTGCAAAGTTTCAGCTTGAGAAATTCAGCAGCGAGTACACTTCATAAAGTCTTACACCAGAAAAGTCCTCCCTCTACCCTTTCATCTCAAAAAGTGAATAGATTTTGCTCCATACTCTCTCCTTCAGCCCCCTCTCCCCAAATTCACCTACAGCCTGAGAACACATACAGAAAATTGTATCTAAAGATTTTCAGAAAGCTAAAAAGGGAGGTAATGTTTTATAATGAAAGTCTCAACATAACACTAACTATAAAATTTATAAACAGCACATTTTGCTATAAACAGACAATTTCTCACATTTACAGCACGCAAATGGAGAGTCAAACTGTGGCAGACAACACCACAGAAATGCCTGCAAATAAATCAGAGACAAGGTGGGTGAGGTAATATCTTTTATTGGACCAACTTCTGTTGGGGGCGGGGGGGGGGGAGGGGGCGGCTTTCCAGCTACGCAGAGCAGGTCTGGGAAAGGTAGTGTCACAGCTAAATACAAGATCAAACAAATAGTTTAGTATATGTAGTTAGCACATATTCTAAGAGACCACTCAAGGTGAAGTAGCCCATTAATACCCTTGTAGTCATAAGACAAAAAGGGCAGTTAGTGGGTTACGATTGTTGTAATAAGCCATAAATCCGGTCATTATTCAGCCCATGATTTTTAGCGTCTAGCACAAGTTATGAGCCTGGGAGCTGAAATTCATCTTTTGAAAGTGTTGTGCAGGTTTCTTTTGATGATGAGAACAGATAGGAACACCATCTCACAAAGCGATCTCTCTATACCGGACCTGTCTTTTATTATGTTCCTATGAGAATTCATTTAACAGTATAGGATTGTCTGGTTTCACCCACACAGTTGTTATTGGGGCCTTTAGTGCACTGGATGAGGTACACCACGTGTTGTGATAGGCATGTGTAGGACCTATGGATCTTGGAAGGTGTGTTGTGGAGAGTTGTTGATCATTGTAGAAGTGGAGGTATGTCTGCAAGTTTTGCGTCTGTTGTTCTAACAGGGCCTGATGCCGCTTTGAGTTGGTGTGTCCTGGTCTGTGGGGAGCCTGCTTCCGATGATGATCTTGGAGAGGTCGGGGGGTTGTATGAAGGCCAGAAAAAGGGGTTCAGGGAAGATTTATTTCAGGATGGGGTCTCCATTGAGTATGGGTGGTAGTAGTTTGATGATACCCGAGATGGGTTCCAGTGTTGAGTGGTAGGTGACAACTAGGGTTGTGCGGTCAGAGGGGGTTTTATTTCTGTATTGAAGCCAGTTCTCTTGGAGTATTTGGGTGCCCTGTTCCATGATGTGAGCTACTTTTCTGGCAGAGTGTCCTTGTTTGGTCAAAGTGGTTTTGAGTGCGCTAATGTGTATTCTGAACTTTCTCCTCAGAGCATATTTTGTGGTATCTGAATGCCTGGCTGTAGATAACAAATTTCTTGGGGCATTTGGGGTAGTTACTGTATCTATGAAGATAGGTGTACTGATCCATGGGTTTCTTGTATGTAGTTGTCTGTAGGGTTCCATTGTTGAAGCTGATTGTGGTGTCCAGGAATTTGATGTTAGTGTGGGAGCATACCACAGACAGTTTAATGGATGGGTGGTGGTGGTTGAAATTGTGGTGGGAATTAGAAGGAATTTTAAGTAATCTGTCCAGAGGATGAAAAATATCATTGAGGTGTCCTCAGAATATCCTTGGTTCTGTGGTGCATTTACCCAGAAATTCTTCTTCAAGGTCCCATGAGGAGGATGGCATACTGGGGAGCCATGCTAGCACCTATGGTTGTTCCAATTGTTAGACAAAGTGTTCGTTGCTGAATGTAAAATTGTTATGGCTGAGCATGAAATGGATGAGTTTGGCAAAACAATGTAGTGGATATCTGAGGGTTGTCCACTGTCTTGTAAATATTTGAGGCAGACAGCTATGCAGTCATTATGGGGGATGTAGGTGTATAGGAAAGTGAAATGCATAGTGGCATGGATGGTGTTCCGAGGGAGGCTGTTAATGGTGCAGTGTTTGGACACTTCACCTGGAATGATCCTCAGAATGTGTGTTTACTACTTATGCTAAACTATCTGTTCAATCTTGTATTTAGCTGTGATACCTTAAGTACCTTTCCCAGAGCTGAGGAAGAGCTGTGTGTAGCTGAAAAGCTCGTCTCTCACCTCACACACTTTGTGTCTCCAACATCCTGGGACTGACACAGCTACAACAACTCTGCATACTGTAAATAAATCAGTCAGGTGCGACTTGCCCCTCCTTCAGACTTTTTTGGTAAGGTATGGGAATTTGTAAATGCTACTCCCTAACAATAGATAAGAATAGTCAATTAATTGTAAATCAAAAAATCAATATTCAATGCCTACATCAACACAGATTAGGGTGGGAAGAGGTTTGAAATGTTAACAGCAGATATTCAAGGAAGCCCCTTTGATGCTGGATATTAGTTATTTTTTTTACTTTTTATAGTCACTGTTGGTGCATCATCTTAAGACCTGCAAAAGGAAAATAAAAAATGTGAAGTGCATGGGACAGTTACAGTCTTAATAGCTTTACCTAATAGCTTTCTTTGACAAGGTAACAAGCCTTGCGGATAGGGGGAAGCAGTAGATATGGTATATCTTCACTTTAGTAAGGCTTCTGATACTGTCTCACATGACCTTCTCAAACAAATTAGGGAATATAGCCTAGATGGAGCTACTATAAGGTGGGTGCATAACTCATTGGAAAACCATTCCCAGGGAGTAATCACCACAGTCAAACTGGAAGGGCATACTGAGTGGGATCCCACAGGGATTGTTCTTGGGTCCAGTTCTGTTCAATATATTCATAAATGATTTAGATAATGGCATAGAGAGTACATTTATAAAGTTTGTGGACAATACCAAGTTGGGAGGAGTTGCAAGTGTTTTGGAGGATAGGATTAAAATTCAAGATGATCTGGACAAACTGGAGAAATGGTCTGAAGTAAAGAGGATGAAATTCTATAAGGACAAATGCAAAGTACTCCACTTAGGAAAGAACAATCAATTGCATGCACACAAAAAAAGGGAAATGACACCTAGGAAGGAGTACTGCAGAAAGGGATCTGGGGATTATAGTGGATCACAAGCTAAATGTGAGTCAACAGTAACAGTGTGGCAAACCAAAGCCAACATCATTCTGGGATGTATTAGCAGGAGTGTTGTAAGCAAGACACAAGAAGTAATTCTTCCACTCTATTTCATGCTAAGGCCTCAGCGGGAATAGTGTGTCCACTTCTGGGCACCACATTTCAGGAAAGATGTGGGACAAATTGGAGAAAGTCCAGGGAAGAGCAACAAAAATGACTCAAGGTCTAGACAACATGACCTATGAGGAAAGATTGAAAAAACTGGGGTTGTTTAGTCTGGAGAAGACGGGGGGAGGAGGCAGGTGGCATGATCACAGTTTTCAAGCACATAAAAGGTTTTTACAGGGAGGAGGGAGAAAAATTCTTCTCCTTAAATTCTGAGGGTAGGACAAGAAGCAATGGGCTTAAATTGCAGCAAGGGAGGTTTAGGTTGGACATTAGGAAAAAACCCTGACAGGAATTTTTAAGCACTGGAACAAATTACCTAGGGGGTGGTAGGATCCTACCTCTTCCTGTCCCTGCTCCACCCCCGCCCTTCCTCTTCCCACACCCTTCCTTAAATGTGCCCCGTCCCCGCTCCTCCCCTTCCCTTCTTGTGCCTCCTGTACACTGTGGAACAGCTGTTCAGCAGTGTGCAGGAGGCGCTGGGAGGGAGGGAGAGGAGTTGATCAGCAGGGCCAATGGCCCTGGACATGACTCGTGGATCCCCTGGAGTACCCTCACAGACCCCCCGGGGTCCATGGACCCCACTTTGAGAAACCCTGGTCTAACTGTTCTTAAAAACCTCCAAACACCTTTCCGGAATGGTCTAATTATTACTTAGTCCTGCCTTGAGTGCAGGGGTACTGGACTAGGTGATCTACTGAGGCCCCTTCCAGTCCTATACTTTATGATTCTATGAAGTGGCTCAAAACAACAATGCCTAGATATTAACCAGTCCTACTACTATACACATTAAAAAAAACAAGCAGTTCTATATTTGAGTTAAGCGTATTTTTTCTACTCGGTTGCAGGGACAACTGATTACTGTAGAGAGAACACAGCGTGGCTAACACTCAGCTATAATATGCAGTTCTGAGAAAAGAAAAACTAAAGGACTTCAGTTTCTGCTGAAGACATTGGTAAAGCCTGGACCTGGTTTTGCCCATACAACTGGAAAGGGTTTACTCCCAGACTCAACACAAAAACACAGAACATTAAACAATCAAATTAGAAATCCACTGGCAGATTAATGCCAGATCCTTACCACGCAAGGATCCAAGCCCAGCACAAGGCAGAAGGCCTCCCAACTTCCTTTCATGTGAGTACTGCGTACAACCAGCAGTAGTCCAGCTGACTACTTTAGCAGACAGTCCATTACCACACATTTTCCATTAAGACAACCTGTTGCTAGATTTCTGGGTAGAGGGGGATGGCAGGAAGAAAGCCCCCCTTCACCCCAGAGAATGATCCCATCTCAGATTTTCAGAACATATTGCAGGCCTTCCGATGCATCCATCTGCCTGGACCATAACATTATTTAGCGTGTGCAGAGTCGTCTAGCCAAGCAATGGCATCTTCAGTAGCATGATGCAGTTCTTCTAGGCCACCGCTGAACCTAGTCAGCAGGCATTCATTGACAATGTGCATCATCTTCTGTGTTGCGTCATAGCTGAACTGAACTGGACCATAACTGAAGAGTGCTGTCTCCTCTAAGGTAACAGGATGCAAGAGATGGAGCAGCACTCAGGAACAACTGAGGGTGGGGAGCAGATGGGGAAGGAGTGGGGGGGAAGCCAGGAAGGTGAGAAAGGAATGAAAGTGAGACTCCTACATCAATATGCACAGATACAGACTATAGGATGTTCCTGTAGGAAATCAAATTTGCCATTCAAAATGAAGTTTTAAGTTACATGTGGGGCTAGTAGTTCTGTCTATTGTTAAGTTGCCTAATACTTTCCATTACAAAGATGTTGCTTTCAGTTGGTTTTAACTTTGCCAAACTTCAACTATCTGGGCGGAAGTTTTTCACAAAAATAGTTCAATTGTTTCAAAGAACAAGACTAGAGACTATACTGAGCAAATCACCTAAATCAAACTTTTTAAAAGTGGTCATTAATTGTCTCTCTCTTTTTCTGGATGCTCAACTTAAGACATCTGGAGTCCGATTTACAGAAATGCTGAGTTCTTAACTGTAGATCAAGTCTATAGAAAATGTGCTTTGAACATATAAAATGCAAAAATAATGTGAAATACTCAAAAATCAGAGCCTACATAATCTCAAATTGGACAACCAAAATTAGAATACTCTGGCAATTTGGGGCACAATCTTTGTGGGGGGGAAATCTATTTTATGAATAATGTCACTACCCCATCCCATGGGAGCATTGTGAACGTAATTTAATTAATGTTTGCAAAGCAGCCATCTGCTACAGTTAAGAGTGTCATAGAAAAGCCATGAGAAAATATCTAATTCTGCAATCAGTGCAGGGTTTAGATAATGTGCAGCAAAATGGCCTGGAACCACATGCTGAACAAGGATAAAAAATATTGAATAGCTTACCCATTCAGGGAGCGTCATCCATCCTGCACACTGAATGAAAAAAACAGTATCTTAATACATATGTAAAAGAGGGCCAAATTAAGGTTGTACAGGAAACCGAAATCTAGCATTTCCTAACTTTTGAATGTTTGACTTCACAACCTTCAAGTTATTTTAATGTAATTTTTCTGCAATACATACTTAGGCTTCATTGTCAATCCAGGAACCTTTATATGTCTAATCAATTTCACTAATATAGGTAAATGCTAATCCCTACATTCTCTCTCAGAGAGGTGCATGGTGTTTTAGTTAATGCAAACCTATCCGCTTTAGGTAGGAGACACTCAGCTAAATTCCAGCTCATGGCGCTGAAACTTTCAGAGACATGGGCATTAAAAACCTTAAAGTTGCATGAAACAGTTTTATATAGTTTGTTTTAACTTTTCATTTCACAGTGTGCCTATCACACTAAAAACTCCAACACACACATGCATTAATGCCCTCCCTTACCTCCCCCCACAATAGCTAAACAAAATAAGTTCTACCTCTTTAATACTAGCTGTTCTAGAAATGTTTAAGAATAATACAGTTAGTCACTGTAGCTTTCTAAACATTAGACTTAAAACTCTTTAGTACATGAAGAGGACTGAGAGCAAAGCAAATTTGTTTTTAATCAAATCTATTTCTAAATCCATAGAAGGGGTGAGACTTTTAGAATACCTAGTCTTATTTGCAGCAGCCTTAACTGTGCCTGTTTAATGTGGCTGTCTGCCTAACTGCACTAATGCTGCAAGTCTGTTTTTAGAAGCTAGATAATTTTATAAGTATGGAAATTTTAAAAGATGATGATAAAACCAAAGCAGCTTGCTATAACTCTGCAGCTAACATTTCCACTAGTAACCATGATACTACTGTCATTTTACACTTCAATTCTGTGTCAAATACACTCTAATGTTGACCTACAAAAGACATGAAGCCCCTCTTACCAAATAAACCACATTTTATCAGGCCTTTTGCTTTACTTTCTAGTATAAAATAATTTGTCAAATTGTCACAAGAGTATATTTTTAACAGCTGCTCCAGGTTTCTATGGGTAACTTAACTTTTAAGAGAACTGTAATTTTTTTCAGGTACTTTTTTTTGTACTGCTCCATTACACAGCATGGAACTATGACCACGTTGTTTAATTTTGTAATCCACTTCCCACTATAATTTTTGGAACAGAAGAAGAACCAACCTCTATCAATTCCATACCCAGATAATCCTGTGTTACTGCTCTCCAGTTGTCAGTCCTTTCAAACAGCTGACAGAACTGTACAATCTGGTCAACAGAGAAGCACAAACTGGACATGCTAGAATTGTAGGAGGAGCTTCTGGAAACTGCTGTGAAGTGTATCCTTGCTTTAGCCTAATTCCAGGAAGCTACTCAACACTCAAAAATAGGGCCCTAGCAAAATGATTGTGTGTGTACCGATTTCAAAATTGTACTGTAAATATACAAAGTGAGCACAGACTAAAGCCTATGTCAACATAAACCTGAGATTTGTACTTATCCAGTTAGAAGTGAAAGGACAAGTTATCTAAGTTTAAGGAAAGTGTAATCTATAAAAACTAGAACACATTTTAGAAAATAATGTAGGGTCTCCATTGGAGACCCTGGTCATCATGCACACAGAACAATTAAAAATAGGGAATTCTACACTTATGTATTTTGGGTACTGTCCTCACATCTACTTAACCAAAGTTAGCATACAATGTGAACCAGCATTGAGTTATAGGTCATTATCATGGAAAGCTTACATTAAGAGTTTTGAAAGCTTAATTGCTTCTTGACCATTAACAAATCAAAAGCAGCTTCCTTT